TTGTTTTACTGAAGTGCATTGAACATCTTTGTGTCCAGAAATAACAGGGCAGATTGTGTGAGTTGCATTAGCAAGTCTCCTTCCTCACTTTTTTTAATTAGAAAGAGTCTTTGTAGGTTAATGACACCAAGCACAATATTGTAAAATGCAAACCCATGTCTGCCTACTAGAAAAATATTTTTAATTTAATCTTTTAATTGTAATCAGGTTAAAACTTTGTATGGTAGCAGGAGAGGCTTTTCATCATATTAGGAAGAACTTACATAAGCCAGTTGTGTAATATAGTAGCCTAATTGTAATGAAACAGATTTATTTATGCATCTTAGACTTCATTGTTCCCTGGGAAAATAAATTGATCTTTACTCTGTTCAATTGAAAATTTCAGTCCCTCTGGCGCTCAGTTCTTATTTTGCTGAAATTTTCCATCTTTGATTTGAACTTAATTCAGAGAATTTAGAGCAAAGACACCAGTTCTACATAGAAACTGAAGGTATGAACTTGCAATTTGGTGCAAAGGCTGTTTTAGTAAAGCATTTGTAACTGCTCATTTATCAGTTGGGGTTGGAGTTAGGACTGATGATCGCTCTGCATACTACCTCTACACCATTTATGATTGTCTTTTGAAAGTTAAAAAATGTCTTTGGTGTGCCTAAACTGATATCAGCTGGTTTTTAGGTATTTCATATTTCTCTCTACTAGGATGAACTGCATGAAGAAGGAAAAAAATCTTTATTGTAAGACAGTTGTGTGCTGTTCAGAACAAGCTCAAAATTTAGCTTGTTTGTGGTATGCAAATGAAGTTGGGAGGAAGGGAAATTACTCTCTGAGAAATTGGTTTTTGTGGTGTATTTTGCAGGTATGTTAGCATGTGCCAGGCATTGTTTTAATGATGAAGAGGTGTTTGCTTCCACTTAAAACAACACACCTAAGGATACAGCAAAAAACAGGTAGCTTCTGAGAATGTTTAAAATCTCACTGTAAACTGAACTGAGTATAAACCTGATGATAATGAATCTTGTGGCTGGAAGCTGAAGTTGCACTAATTCAATCTTGAGCTGAGGTACTATTTCCTAGCAGTGGAGTAAAATAAATATTAGAACAGTTTGTCCAAGGATGGCTTTGACAGTGATTTTTTTTTTAAGGTGACATTACTCTCTTTCATCCTGAAAAACCAACCAACCAAATCCAGCCTGCTGTAGTCTTCTGGGGGGAAAATTTCTTGCCCTGTGTGGGGGCAGCCAGCCTGAGCTATTAATTCTGAGTCTGAGTTTGAGTTGTTCCTGATACCAGCACATACATACATGCACAACTGCACATGCACAGAAGTCCAAGGATTTTCAGCATCTTGAGGCAGCTCTGCATTCATGTACTTAAGCATTGTCAGTGTGCTTGGTGCTGTATGGGGAATAATAACAAATGATGATCCCTGATGGATCTCTCAGGCCCTGGTGTCTGCCACAAAACAGTTGGGAGTGACTTGAGCTTGGCACTGAACAACCTTCCCCATTCTCTTGGACTTTAAGGAAGTTCTGGAAGGACTGTAGGTTGCCAGTCAACCATTGTCTTTCATTAGAGGTGAATAGAAAGAATGGGAACACCTGGTGGGGGTGTGGAGGGGGTGGGAAGTCCTTTAAGTACAAAACAGAAGGAATTTCATATTTTGATTTTTCTAGTAATAGGTGGAGGCAGAGTGGTATTTTGTGTGTTGTCAAATATCTTGTAAGGCTCCACCTGGAGTACTATGTCCAGTTCTGGAGCCCCCAATTCAAGAGAGACATGGAGCAGCTAGAACAAGTCCAGAGGAGGCCACGAGGATGATCCGAGGGCTGGAGCTCCTCTCCTGTGAGGAGAGGCTGAGGGAGTTGGGGCTGTTAAGCCTGGAGGAGAGAAGGCTCCGGGAAGATCTTATAGTGGGCCTCCAGTACCTGAAGAGGGCCTACAAGAAAGCTGGGGAGGGACTTTTTACAAGGGCAGGGAGTGATAAAACAAGGGGAAATGGGTTTAAGCTGAAAGAGGGGAGGTTTAGATTATATATTAGGAAGAAGTTCTTCACTGTGAAGGTGGTGAGACACTGGAACAGGTTGCCCAAGGAAGTTGTGGATGCCCCTCCCTGGAAGTGTTCAGGGCCAGGCTGGATGAGGCTTTGAGCAACCTGGTCTAGTGGAAGGTGTCCCTGCTGATGGCAGGGGGATTGGAACTAGATGATCTTTAAGGTCCCTTCCAACCCAAACCATTCTATGATCTGTAGGTTTCTATGGAGAAACGTGTTCTCACCTAGATGACATAGGTGTGTGCACTTACATGTGGAAAGCAGCCTCCTATGTTTGTGCTGGACTGGGCTTTTTTTCAACTGCATAAGAAAACAAGTAGCTCTTAATAGATTCTTAGCTAAATATAGTGTCTCTTTGGAGATTACTTCTGCAGATAAATAAAGAAGTTCTTATCTGATTAGCCAGAGCAGGGAGTACTGCTGTGCTTTTTTCTTGGTGGGAGGTCACATACAGAGTGCGTTGGGGATTAGAGCTGAGGGCAACTGTTTCTGAGGTGCCTCGACAGCTTGACTTAGACATGTTGTGTTTCCAAGTCACTCAGCATTTTCAGTTGCTAACACGCTG